ATAAAAAGCTTTTCCTGCATTTTTTCTGCCCTTCCCCCAAAGGCTCTACAACATCAAACCAGACTTGCACAGAGCTGAAGAAGCTCAGCTAATAAATTGGAACTATTTAGCTTAGAAAACTGAAGGGCAGAAACTTCAATCCATAGCAGAGCACATAAAAAAAAGATAGGCTGGTGATCACAATTTAACAATCTAGAAATCTTGGTGAAAACAGATGTCTAAAGTCTCATTAGAAAGTGCACACAGTCTCTACAGAAAAGAACACTGAGCAATATACCTAACTTGCCTTTCATTTTTATGAGAAGATAAACTGCTAGTTGCTATAGATACTTCTACATAGATAAAGCAGGAAAGCGAGAACATCATATTAAAAAAATATGATACTGGATTATAATTATACTAAATTTCCAGGTGCCATATTAAACATAAACTACCTTAATTCTCATATGAAAGATGAAATTCCTTTCAGACTATTTCAACATGCTTATCACTGTTTATTTTAATCATGATCCACAAGCCAAACGTTTTTGAAGAAAAACATGTTTTAGGAAAAGATACAAGAAATGACCAACCCATTTAATATTTACTAAACTTGTGTTTTGCCAACTATAGTTTCAAGGAGTCTTTGAAGGACAATAACATATTCACCATATTAAGTGCACAATGAAATGTCATGGAGACAGCATGGCAATGGAGATGGTTTTCTCCAGCACCACTTACCACATGTTGACAGTGCAAGTTTTGAATATAAAACATTATTATATTTAATAGGTATAGGTATTTTTCAGCTTGTCTCCAAATAGTCTTCCAATGCTCTCCTAGGAGACTTCTGCCTGTGAGATACCTCTTAAATAAAATTTTGAAATATGGCAGCTCCAGAAAACAGGAAGAGTACTGACAGTATACCATCCTCAAAACACAGGAACGAAACTCCAAGTTAATACAGGATGGTCAATATAACAGAAATTCTCAAGAAAACAGTAGAAGCTGATACAAGTTTTCAGTCAGTGACCAAGGAATCCACTGAGAAAGATCTGCATCTTCTGATAAAGTTCACGTGTTAGAAAAGCATTTTAATAGCTTAGCTTAAGGTCACAACCTGGAGCAGTAAAAGTAGGAAAGAACAGAAGTTTTTCAAATAATAACTACAAAATATTCAAGGTAAATGAGCTGCAATGCCCTTCCAGCAGATAACACAGTGCTAAAGTCCCCCATAAGGGCCAGGACCTGCACATGTGAGGCTTCCACCAGCTGTCTGAAGAAAGCCTCATATACTTCTTCCCTGATTGGGCATCTGCAGCAGACACTCACCAAAACACGGGTCTGCCTGCAAATCCTGACCATAAACTCTAATCCCCATCCATTCCAAGCCAGAGCTCCATGCATCCCTGCTGCTCTGTTACAACTTGACAACAAAAGCAACTCAACTTCCGTGCTCTTCCAGCCTGTCCTTCCCAAAATGCCTGTACGCATCCACTGCAGCACTCCAGCCACTCCTGTGAGCTATCCCACCATGTCTCTATGACCCCAATGAGACTGTAGCCCTGCAACTGCACACAGACTTCCAATGCCTCCTGCTTGTTCCCCATGCTGCATGCATGAGTGCACAGGGGCTTCAGTGAGGCCCTCAAAAAAGGCACGAGAGCTCTCCCAATCATACTGTCCTGTAGGCATTTCCTTACTTTCATGCATACACTTGACGTGGTCCCCTTCTGTCCCAGCTGTTGACCATGAGGTGTCTCCTGTCCACAGCATCCTAGCCCCTTCACCTGACAGCCCGATCCACCACTTCCTCACTTGCTTCTTGGCCATTATCTCCTTCCTGTGTCGTTCTTAGTTTAGAACTCTCCTAGACAAATCTGGATTACCTTTTATTCTAAATGCTTTGAAATCTTACTGCTTACCAAAAGCAAGACTAATGCAAGCCAGGAGCATGACCAAAATACATACTAAAGAAGTTGCACTAAAATTCTGTACTAGAACTTTAATAAAACCATACAAAAATATTTCTTTCACTGTTAGAATACATCAAACCTAGTACATGCTTTTATCTTCTGCCCCCTAGACTTAAAAGGCAATAGCAATAGAGATGCTTTACTCTAAACTCACCTACTCAAATCTGTAAATGCTGAACCTGACAAAAACCCTCAACTTTTAAAGGGAATTTTAACCTGTGAAAAGGGCAAAGCAGAAAGTGCAGGTCATTAGAAATCTTCACTCAAAATCAATACACAGAAAAGACAATTTTGCACTGGCACACACTGCTTCACCAAAACGAAAAAGCTTGAATCCCCTTAGCTTAGTCTTTGCGAGAGGAAAGCTGAAGTGAATTAAGGGAATTATCATCTGCAGACTTCAAAAGAACAATGACTATCATTAAGATCTTTTCATTGTTAATTAAGACAGAGCTTCACAGAGGCAAGTTTTCCAATTAAGTTTGAAGGAAAATACATGACATTTGCCACTAGATGGCTCCTCTGCACGACACACAGCACACTGCACCCTGCCCAGCAACGTGCTCTTCCTCAAGCTGCTGAAGCAACCGGTGCTTCAGCTGCAAGGGACCCCCACAGCCAGCCGCCACAGACACAGCTTCTTGCTGCTCCAAAGCCACCCGGCCTAATTTTCCAATGCTAATTACTTTAAGAATCCTTGTGATAATCCTTCACAGAATGTCTGGTATACCTACTTTTGCTAAATTTGCATGATGTTTGTGAACATGAAAAATGAGATGTGCTTCTGCTTTTCTCCTCACAGGGAGATGTGCTTCTGCTTTTCTCCTCACCTATTCACCTCACTTGGGAACGGGAACAACTTCTAGCAATGTAAGAAAGAAACTGTTTCATCCCTCTCCGCCTCCCAAGATCACATTAAATGCTGGAGAAGAATGTCTTATGCTCTTTGTCCCATTCTGTTATTTTTAAAAGGTGTAATACACAAAACAGGCAGGTTAAGTTCTGCTGACACCTACAACCTCCGCCTCACAGTCATCTCTGCTTCTCTTTCTAGAAGGAGCACAAGTCCAACCTTCCCTCCTGCTAATGAGACTGTTATCTTTCCAGAGCAGTTTGTGCCCTTTGATCTGTATTTTAAGGCATACAACGTACTATGTTGCTATAAATAAGCAATAGTTGAGCTATGATTCATAGTTTAAGTAGCTACACAAAAATTTCCAGAAAGGAATCTTGCTCCCACCTGCACAGGTCTCATAGTGAGCCAAATAAATGGTTGTTTACTGCTCTTCCTCTACTGAAAAATAGATCTCAGATAACACTGTAGATAAACAGACCCGTATTTGCATCTTCAGCTGATCCGGTTCTCCCTGTGACAAAAAGAATACTGCAGAACTACTTTCTCTAGACCACAAATGGTATCTTCCACGCTGGTTTGGCACAGCAGATTGACTCCTTTCCCTTCCTAAAGGAATTTGCCTTTTTTTTTTTTATGCCAAAACAGATAAAGGAGGTTGTAAGTTTGGGGGTGGATGAGGAGTGATGAGGAATAAGAAGAGACTGACTTTTCACTGTTTAACAAGCAGGTGATGACAGCTGAGTAAGACTAGGAGGATGAAATGGATTAATTCATCTGCTTCCAAGAGGAAAATAAGAAAGTTCAAGTAAATTCAGAATGCTTCTAACATATCACAGTTACACAAAAAACCTGAAAGAAAAGTTCAGACGTGTTCTCTATCTTTCAAGTAAATGAGATTTTTAAAAGCACACTGAAACCAGGTACCATTCTCCGCTACCGTGCCAAGCGCATCGTAACCCACCTGTCAAACAAGGATTCACCCTATGCTGCCCTGAGCAAAGGCACCCGCCTTCGAACAGGCCTGTCCTCAACGCGTTGCACTGCACTGCCAGATGAAGCACAAACTGAAGCCCCACACATTACATTCGCAATGCAGCTAATCCCACCTCCTCTGCGTACCTTACCATTATGACTGGGAAAAACAGAAAGTGGGACTGGGCTCTCAACCTGAAAACCCAATTTCCTTACTTAAATCAACACATTACTCACCCTTCTAAGGGAACAATAAGGTATCAGCAAAAAAGGGGAGCGTGGATGAGAAAAATAGCTAAATACCGAAGAGAAATTTAAATTAAATGGGAATGAGATGTAGCACCAATTAATTAAAAAATAAGTTAACTGGTGAATTAAGAAAGAGAGCAGACACAGGCAACGTGAGAGGGAGAAAGCTATGAAAGTGGAGGGGAACTCACAGGCATAACCAAGAAATAAGTGATTTTTTTCCATCCCTCCCTAAATCAAGTGCAAGAATTTTTATCCACACATCTTATCTGACATCACTGAAGCACTTACAATGTACATGAGAGTACCAAAACTGATGAAATAAGTTAGATCGGTACTATTAAATACTGAAGGAAGTATCATGAAGCTAATAGGAATAACCTTTTTTATCTTCTGGTTTTAAAACAGTTGCATACCACTTTTATGGATAATTTTTCATGACACTAGGTTTATATGCTTACATGTTGCTTTTATTAGAGTAAGCTGCAATGATATTTGAATTTTGTACTGTCTGCTCTTAGATACACTGTACAGCACTGGTTTTTAAATGCATGTATATAGATACATCCATGAGACTCAACCCCTTTACAGTAATATTTTGCACAGATAACTGTGGGTCTTACATGCAGAGCAAATAAAGAAGAGAGTGAGAAACTTTGGCACTAAAAAGGTAACACAGCTGGCTTCTTGTCATCTTGTCATATACGTGACAAGGTGATATACTCAACATAGGAAGTGATACAGCACATATTTTAATTAACTTAGTGGCCACGCAAACACCTACACTAAATAAGTGAAGCTAAAAGACAGATATTTTCTTGCTTCAGTGCCATGAACTTCAGTGAGCTTGGTGGTCACGCTGAAGTGATTTTACATTTCAAACTCTTAGGTAGCTGCTGAAGTGTATTACACAGCTGAAGAGAAATGTTCAACATACTGGATCTGTGAAAGATTAAAACAAGACGTACCTTGTCTATTCCCATTCTCTTCATCCTAAGGAAGAAGAAAGAGTACATATTAAAAATTCGATAAATGGAAAAAATACACAGGCACATGAAAACTTAAACTGAACTTGTTAAGATTAAGCCTGCATTCCGGTATCTCATACTTTTTCACAAATACTCAACTTTACAGAACTAATGCTTTCATTCTGAGAATGTAGTATAATACCTGTTGTAAAAAAAAAACCAAAACAACTAAGCATAGTTCCATGAAACATCCCCACAGAAACAACATGAACAGCATTATCTGAAAACAAATGTACCAAAACCCCCAAAACACTGCCATGAAGCCTAATACTGCACTGTGTCTTTGTCGCAAGCGTGTTTCCACCCTGAAAGCCAGGCAGGAGGGGTTATACTTTAATCATCTAAGGATTCAAAGCTAAACAATATGGAAGAGAGAGAAAATATTTTCTAAGTAAGCTCTGAAAACACCTTCTGAAATTTGAACTATCAACTTCATTTTGCCTTCAGTACTACTGCCTAGAGAAAAAATATCTACCCCAAACACTACTGAGTAACAACCTCAAAGATTCTCCTTCTGCTCATTGCACTATCTATACACAATCATAACCACCAGGTATCACTGACAGTCCTTAAAAAATAAAAAAACCCCAAAAACTCACACAACTGGAATGTACTGAGGGAGAATGGCATGCCCAAAACACAAAATAAAGTTACTTTCTTGTCAATATTTGACTATGAATGAAAGGCTTTTGAAAGCTCATGGCTAATCTCTTCTACAAAATCCTACCATTTGAAAAGCACAATTATTTAAATATGGAAATATGTGCTTTCTTTCTGAACTGTAACTTCAACCTAAATACAATTTCTTAGACTAAGATGTGCATATTTGGGAAGTATTTCTAACAATTCACCTCAGCTTTGTCCTGAAGGAAAGGAGCAAGGAGATGATCACAGAAACAATTTTCACCTGCATATTCCCACCTACTTTTAAATGGATTAATTCCAAATTTCTAGGTCTTTTGCATTTAAAGACAAATTACTACCTTTTTCATATTAAGTATTTTCAACGCAACTGCACACTGATCTGAGCAAACGATTCAACAGAGGAAGACTTGAAGGGGGGGAGGGGAGTAAGACCTGGATATGAACACTGTATAATGGATGAGGAGGAGACAAGTCTCTCTTAGGTGCAAAACATCTCTTGTGAGACATACGAGAGTTCTGCTGGAGCTTTGTAAGATACTACAGAAAAACAATTTCAAGGAAGAAAAAAACAACAAAAAGAAACCCCCCCAAAAACCAAAACACTGAGTTAACAGAGATCCACTATTCATTCTACTTTTAAAAAGCCACAATAATTATCATTACCACCCAAACGCTGAGAACAGCAAAGAGTAAACCCTGAAGCTGGACGGTCCTGTCTGCTCTATACTTGGGCAAAAATACCACACTAGTAGACACGTACTGTTAAAATTTATCATTTATCTCTTGAAGCCCTCTAATAGCCAGTTGTTTTTGAACTGTGATCACCCAAAAGAACAGAATTAGACAAGGCTAACATCTGCATGTCTCTAGTTTCTACCCAATCTGTCAAGTGAAAAAACATCTTTAGGACTTTCAATATTAGAGCTCATAGTCTGGAAAAAGTAGGTCACACGTAGGGGAGGCTACCTGGTTTGATGCTATAAACCAAAAAAAGTACGGAAGTGAAGAGTTAGCTAATATAGAATTGCCATCATTTATGAAATACTGCAGTGGGTTTGTCAGTTTGTCACCGGGTATGCAAAGCTCTGTTATAAAAGACAGCTGCAAAACATTAGTTTTTCATGGTATCAAGCCAATGAGCTCAGGCCTTTAAAAATGGAATGCTTTATAACGCAAATGTTTTGGAATTAGCTTTCCCTCCTACATTTACCTCTTACACATTACACGATGTTAGTATATGCTGCTTCCATGCCTAAAGAGAAGGTTTTCTTCTATCACGTACTTGATTCTCAGACCGACTGAACTCGAGGAACGATCATCACATGCAAAAACAGCGTGTTGCTGACTAACAAATCCTAATAAACATCTGATGCTAAAAGCATAATTTAACATAGGCTTTTTCAATGCTAGCTTAAGATATCTTCCACACACCCTCTATTCACTTTCTTAAGGGAAAGGAGGCATGGGAAGCAAGAAGGATACATAATGGGTTATTCCTGAACACGCAGCTATTTCCCAGTTTGGTGTGTGGCCCCACACAAGCACAGCCAAGTACTTTGCCAAAATGAAATGTGTTAAACCGCAATTTCTGGTTCAAAGATCCTCTTTCACACCATCCTTCACAGAGGGCCATCCCTCCCAACAGACTTAGCAAACAACACTTTCTTCCACAGCCTTTATCATATTTATAAATTAGCTAATTAATAACGATTACAGTGACAAAGAGTCCCTTGATTTGTAGTTAATTAGCTGTTTTATGCAGGAACCATGAAAAGATACTAGAACTTAGCATAATATCCTGAATTTGACCTAGACCTGCAGTACTATGTACACACTGAATGTTAAATGAAATTAAATATAAAAATATAATAAAAAATATAAATAATATAAATTGAATATAGCATACAAGTATTCAGTATCAAAGTACACAGAGATACTTCCCTGAATTAATTGTAACCAATCATGTTCAATCATTTCAACGACAGTGAGTAAGGCCTGTTTTCCAGTCAGATGTAAGTGTAAATGGAGAAAACAAAGCATCATGGATGCCCCTCATACGCAGTTATGCGGGTCACTGTCACTTATGTCACCAAGGTATCAAGTTTTATTCTTAGCCTTTCCACTCTGTGAAATATTAAGGAAGGGCGTCACAAAAAAAAAAAACCAAACACATGAAGAACAGAAGATAACTCAAGGCAGGTACTCTTAGGTGTTAATATATTAGAAGACAAGTGTGTTTTGAGACTCCTAGTCAGCCAGAGCTTTGAGGCACATCTGCCTAGACCTCTTCCTTGTAGCACGCTCCCTGGGACAACTAAAAAAAGGCTTTTCAACTGAAAATGGTTTTATTAGACTAACAACTAGAACGCTGAACTTCTTAAAATTTAAATAAAACCCCAACACCTCAAATGCACCTAGGCAGAGAACATATTAGTAAAGCTTTTTTTATAAAATGACGCACATTCTGCTCTACTCAGCATATCCTTTGGGGTACAGTTCTTTGCTTCCAAGAAAATTCACCTCAGTGGCTTTTCAGGAAGCTTTTCTTCCCATTCCCATGGAACATCCAGCTGTGGTGTGACCTTTACCATACCCTGCAGTCTAGAGCATTATGGTCTCTGTCCTAGAGATGCCCATGATCCCCCTGTGTGAGGAGCCTTGTCCTCTTCTCCCCAGAGAATTCCACCTGACCTATCAACAGGTTTTCAAAACATGCACAAACTGCAAGCAACAGGAGCAGAACTTTTAATGGAGAAATTTTCACTAGATATTTCTGATTGGAACCAAGAGTTAAAAAAAAAAAAAAAAAAACCAACACAAAGAATGTGGAAAGACTGACTGAAGGAAAGCTTTTTTTTTTTTTTAGATGTTTTTCTCTCTTTACTGACTCTACCAGTTTCTGTTAACTTGCAGAAAGATTTAGAGATCTTGAAATGTCTTGCAAGAGAGTGCTTGCCTACCTTGAAAGCAATCAGGAGCCAGAATGCAAAGCCTTCCCTGGGTAAAAGATGACCTCTGCACTAATCTAGAGGGAAAGTGACAGCATCAGGTTGACACTTGTGATAACAAAAGGCTTGTGGCTCCAAGAAGCTAGCAGAGGATTGAGTAACTCTGGCTGTTGTGTCAATGGCATCTTTAACTTCTAGCTGTAACCTCTAACTTTTGTCAGAGGTATCTTCACACATTCTCAGGTGTGAAGAAGGGACAAGGCAACTACAAGATTTAAGACAGTCAGAAAACCAAGTCATATTTACCATTATTACACTACCTCTAAGGTGTGCAAAGCAAAACATCTCCACCTTCCGAGGCCCTTTTTGATCAAGGCCAATTTTGATCAATGAGGAAAGACAGCAATGATATTTGAGCTTAGAATCAATGAGAGAGACCATAAGTAGCTGGTAACCAATAAGATCTTTGATCAAATAAGAACAGCAGAAAAATCACATTTGCCTCGTATTAGGATCAGGCTGACAGTAGATGAATTTCGTTCTTTAGTACCATAACTTATGTACATAGATTTCTATAAAAGCCACCTTATGAAGACCCAGGAGAAATAATTTTGAAGGTATATTCTTTTTTTCTACCACCTCTTGGAGATTAAAAGAAGAAAAGAGAATCAGGTTAATTTACGTTAGTATTGACCACAGTTGTGTCCAAATGAACCTTATCATCTTTAAATGTAACTGAATCCCTGAATAAAGGTATTACAACTATCCAACAATCTCATTATTTCCTTTTCAAAAAACAAGACAGAAATGGGAATGAATTAACCAGATTTTGACATATCAGAGAAGAAACAAAGGAAAAAAAAAAAAGATTCCAAGAACTGTCCTGCAGAAAAAGAGGGAGACAGAACTTCAAGACACATCTCAAGATTTACAGGTATCATGCTCACTACATACTGCTTGGGTCTCTCTCAGAAACGATCAGATATGAATGAGAGAGGAAGGGCTGACATTTCTTTTTTTCTTTTTTATATTACTTGCCCTTCCTTGTGCCTATCTCCTTCTGCATGTGAAAAAGATATTGTCCTCCTCAGAGAGATCTAGTGATAAGTGCACAAAGAAACCTATCCAGTCACTTCTTAGTTAAGGAGATTCATCTTGCTCATGCTGTTTATATTTTCACCCTCAACACGAATAGGGGTTGTTGTTGGGAGATGCTAACAAGTGCACATGATTTGTTCTGCTCAGCTAAGGCTTCCCCACCCTCCTTCCTCTGTTTCATATTGGAATTCAACCAGAATCTTGCTCTTGCCTAACTCTCTATAACCTGTGTTGAAGGGCAGAAACGTTGTGATCACCTGATATTGCTAACAGTCTCGCTTCCAGTTAGCTTCAGTGACTCCTTGTCAAGGGGAAAAAAATTTAGGCATTCAAGTGCAGGCTGAATAGCTGAAGTTAACTGGAAAAATATGCCAACTTTCTCCTGCAAAGCTTTTCTACTTCAGATGAAATCTTACAGCCACCTAGGACAGGCAAAAAAGAAAACTTTAACGAAAGCCTCCTGCAGAGCCACGAGTCAATTAGCCATCTGGAAAGAGCATGAAGCTTCAATACCCGTTCCCCATCTTGATAAGAATCTGTTCTTCCGCCGTACTGGAAAAGCATGGATTATGAGGATTCGCATACTCGATGACTTTAAACTGAGCAAATGTTATTTGAACTCTAGGAAAAACCCTCTCCCAGTATTCAAATTTCTATCACTATTAAATGAACTTTTTCTCAACACCAGCTACTACAGCAACTTTCAAAAAGGTTCAGTCACATGGAAGAATACATACACCCTTTGAGCAATGCAGACCGATTAGCTACTTTAGAACTACTTGTTTTAAATAAAACACTCTAAAATATTTTAAGAAAGTTGTCCTTTAATGTAGGCATGTATATATTTTGTGTATATGTCTCCTGACTAACAGGGAATTGCAGATTGTTGTTCTTTTCAGCAGAAAGAACATAATATAGAAACATAACCTGTCTTCCTAACGTACATTAATATTAGGATACTCAGTTAGAAACTACAAAACAGAAAAACCCCAAGCCTCCCACCCTTGAAGACTACACTTTAAAAGGTGTACAGACTAGTCACACTGGCTTTGGGTAAAAAAATCCTGTACAGAGAAATATTTCCATATTCTGCAATAATCACTGGTCTTACCCATGGTAGCAAATACGTTTAACTTGGGTGAGCTCACACCCAGTCAATTCCATTTTCTTGGAACAGATCAGTGCACGGTTATCAAATGATGCAGTGAGCCCACCTACCTTACACACAAGAGATCTTTCATCTGTGTAAGACACATCTATACCTACATTTACTTTCAAGCAAGCTGGCTTTTTGACCCTAAAAAGTATAATAAAGCTATATATAAATGCTTCATTATTAATTTCACTTACTTTAAAAGAAAACTGAACTGCAGATTCCGGAGGGTAAACTATGAAGTGTCTTAAGGTGAAGCCAAAACCCTGAGATGTCCTCCTTAGCACGACAGTTTTGGGACCAGGCCAAGAAAAAGTTTCTTCTTCCTCCGATGGTGATATAGCTTCACTCTGCTCTTTTCCATCTTTATTTTTTGATGCCTAAAAGAGACACACATAAGTCTTAATTTGGATAATTAAAAAAAAAAAAAAACCAACAAAAATCAATCAAACACCACAAACCACCAAGCATTACTGTGCACTTGAAAATGTAATTTCTACCCCCCTAAGCAAAAAAACTTGATGATGACTAATATTTCAAAAGAAATGTGTATTGTAAAGTGGCATCCCTTACAGCATTACACCTCTGGTCATACCACATACAGAATTACTCTTAAAATTTAAGTTAGTTATTAAGAAAATCAATGTACAACAGTGAAAGGCTCAAATGAACTGCAAGAAATGTATACAGCTTGCATGTTTTATTTGCTTTCTACTTAGATACAAACATGTGTCTTCTGGGACCCCACATCTGCATGCACACCTATCACACACATGTACAAAACCAACTCTTCTTTTCCTCAGTTATAATCCAGGCGTGGTTTCCACAACTAGTACCTCCTTACTTAAAACAAGTAAAACAGAATTGAAGAAGATATGTAAATGGTTAGGCTTCTTCAGCAAGACACACTTTTCCTCTAGTCAAAGATGCGACTTCACCTTTGGTTTTTTTTCCCACCCTTAGCTACTTTCTCTGAACACTTCAGTATGTGAATTCGAAATACACAAGTAAAAAGGTCTCATTTCCTTTTACAGTCCTACGGCAATCCCTCCTCTCATGCAGAAGTAAGACATCTTGGTTTTTTTCTTAAAGGTGGTTTTATATGCCTATGACTCAAGAAACATTATCATAAAAATATTTATCTTTTCAGCCTTATATGAAACCTTCCATTTCAATTTTCAAAGTGAGTGCCACACCACATGTAACATCTCAAATCAGAGGCAGAAGACATACAAAGAAAGCATACAAAACCCTATGACCCTCCTCTAAACATTCTAGTTCAACGATGCGTGAAACAAATTTAGATACCAGAGCCTATAGCCTATTCAAAGGGTATTCAAACAGAAATAATAGTCTTCTTGTCCTTCTGTAGCTCTGCTGCTGTGGCTCAGCAACTGGCTGATACGTGTCAGAATTTACTGCTTGGTTTTCTTCCTGGGCTGCTCCAAAATAACCCCTTTTGATTCAGCCTTACAGCTGGGATCTCAAACTGCAGTGTTTATCAGCAAGGTGGGCCCAGGCAACTCCAACATCTACAGAGAAGACTAAGCATTTCCACTCTATCCACACTGATAGCAACATGTGTTACTGTAAGGAAAATGTTGTGGCTGCTCGGTGAGATAGTTAACCCACCAGAACAACATTTTGCATTTGGGTATGTAAAACACGACCCATTTCCACACAGGTGCTACAGTTTGTCCTCGGAAACCCACATCCTGGTACATCCAACAGGGAAGACAAGGGAATACCAGCCAGTGCTTCAAATGCCAGCCTCCCTACCTCCAACAACCCTGTTCTTCAGCAAGGAAAAACATACAAATGGAGAAGGGTCTTGGTGCTACAGCCAAGACAAGAAATGGAGCCACTTCTCAAACCAGAAAACAGAATCCAGAGCACCCAGACAGCACTCTGCTCCTCTGAAAATCCTGGAAAGATTGTGTCAGCCTATTTTGGAAAGAACAATAATAAATATCAAGGATTATCTCAGCCTAGTCTGTCCTCATCTATCACCTTCATTCATGTTTTAAAGCGTTAGCGCGAAACAGGAAAGACTGTGCAATTAGATGACTTAACAAATGAAAAATTAGCAAGGACTGTGGAACTGCCAAGGTGAGTGCTTTACTTTAGAGTTCAAGAAATGCAAAGATCAAGTTAAAGGTTGCATAATCCTATAGCCTAAGGATGGGGTTTGTTACTGAGGTGTTCCCCACCAATCTGTTCAGCTTCTGAACATGACAGCATTTTTTCAGTCATGCACAAATAAACGTCCCTTCTGTCTTTCAATCTCATGACATGAGCAGAAACCAGAGCCAGTAAGAACATTTTGATCCTAGTAAATTGGCAAAAGAAATAGTTCCTAATAAAAAAAAAATATCACTGGCCTCTTAAAAATGGCAGTGATTTCTTCCATTAAGTGCAGGCAGCAACCCATCTATTTAACATTCTCTTGTAATCTTTTGTTTCTCCTCTCAAATTTTTATAGTCAACACTTGATGCAGTTTTGAACAACCGTGAACAACTGCAGGTTTCACACAAGGTCAAAAAAATTTTAATAATCAAATACCTATCATTATGGATATGCAAACAGTAAGCTTAAATATAGCACTGAAAAATAAAAGTCTACAATGTACTTGCATCTTTTTTCCAAAAAACCCCCTCCTTAATTAGCCTAAAAGTAATTTTAGTACATATAACAACTGATCACTGAGATTTACACAGAGAAATACTGCAACCCGAGTTCAAAATACAGCCATACAGAGAACTTCACCAGGTCTGAGAAATGGGAGATGCGGTGTTTGACTGTCGTGAGAAAAGAACCTCTAATTCTCCTTGTAATTTCATGTAAACTTTTAGCATTCATGGAAGTTGCTGAACTAACAGCTATTCATAAACAACGGTACTCCCCAGTCAAATCATTGTTTCTTGAAAGAGCCTGCCAGAAGTGGAAGGTTATCCTCATGCCATCCTTGGACCTCCGCAAGGTCGGCCAACAGGGCAACAGAACAAGGCAGTATTAGTATAAACCACGAGATATGTTCAGTAACAGCAACTTTCAGTCACCACTATGAACAAGAATCTGAATTGTAAAGAAAAGAGAGTCAACATCTGTTGAGTCACCCTGTGACATGTCCAACCACATCACACCCACCAGAATATCCCTTGCCAGAGAAGGCTTTAAAAAGGAACAAGAGAAGTTTTCAAAAATGCAAACAAAACAAGGATGCAAGACAGCAAGCGAGAAACAGATGATGTTTAGCACAGGCAAGAATATGTTACTGAAGGCAGAGTTCCTACATGGTTTTCCTTGCAAGCCAAAAATGATAGCAATCAAGTTATGAATACATAAATATCTCGTATCCTTAAGCGTATTTGTCTTTAGGGTAGACTCATTTGCATTTCAAAGCATTCATTTTTCATTCTCTTATTTTAATTTCATTTCATATAAAATCTAACAAACCAAAGATTATTTTGCCATATTCCTTACTGAAGATCTAAGTTTGTTTCTCTGTAGATTCAATGCTCAGAGTCAGAATGCATGCCACCGAGTTCATAGACTGAAGAATCACAGGTTCCTAAAAATGATTCAAGCATCATTTCCCTCGGGATTTCTTCATGCAGGGTTTCTGCACAAAGTATCTCAAAGCATCATTTCCTGTTATATGCCATTACAAGGACATATAACAGATGCTTAAGTGCATTGTAAAATGCATACTTTGTTTTTAATATTGTATTTAAGCCTTTTTTCTGAACAATGAAAGCATCCATGAAAAATCAGATGGCACCTTAAAGAACTACATAAATCACTGTAAGCTTAACACAACAGAATTATGTAAAGTCATTAAATAGCATTGATGTTTGTAAATGGTGCTATTTCTAATTAGAAGTAAATCTCAAATCAATAATTTCTCATTGTATCAGCCTAAAAAAAAAACTTAAAAAGGTAAACACGCCCAACTCGCATGCTCTCCAAAGCCCCTCTTTTAAACTTCTGAATAATTTACAGACAGACCTATATTGAGTATGCAAAAAATCCTTAAGTGACAGTCATAGGTAACTGTAATACAAGCGATCAATAAAGAATTGTCTTCTTGACTAACTAAAGAGATAAATAGGCATATTCTGACTTCTGAATACTCTACATAGACGAGTAACAGTGAACAAGAAACAACTGATATGTTGCACTACTGATCCTTGGGAGAAAAAAAAAAAATCATTCAAGTCATTTTAAAGTTGGTGCAAGAAATCAATTTTCACCTGTATTTCATCTTTGTGTTCAGTACACTAGTTCAGAATTATTTCTAAAAACATTTAGGACTGACATTCATATTTGCTCTACAGTGTTTGGGTTTTGGTTTTGGTTTTTTTTTTTTACCATATAGAACACTTCACAAACAAATTATGTAAATAAAAGGCTCATTGTAAGTGTGTTACCCCAAACTGCATTTTCTGGAGCCTAAATATGCATTAAAAAAAGGGGGTGGGGGACACCAACCCCACCAGACCAAGCAGGGGACTTAAGTTATCAATACCTCGATAGGAGCATGGAGACAGCCTGTGCTAAGCACAGTCTGCTTCAGCTGCATTTAGCAATCTTCAACTTTTAGCTAGTCTACTAAGAAATGCGATCCCTGAAATAGCAATTCAGCTAGATAGATATATGCTGAACAGAAAATAGGCTGATGTCACCTTATTTTACTGATTTAACAGCCATCATATAATTAATATTTTTTCAGTCGCTACTGACTGAGCAAAATGAATCTTGAATATAGCTATTAATCCCTAAAATCATCCTGAGATAGGATATTCCAAATGCTATAATAAGTGCTAGGCTCACTCAAAACCAGTGGTATTTCTTGTATTGGGTCATTTATTTTTCCTAGTTTCTGTACCCAAGTAGCTATCACTTAGTTAACTGCCCTGTTCAATCTGCAACTTCGGAGAAAAAAGGCTTTTCTAGAACAGTTTCATCTTATGTGACAAAGTATAAAGGTCCTTTAAAAAGGTAACACACAAAAAAAGGTCTTTTCTGGCTAAGGCTACGGAACAGGAGAAAAAAAACCTGCCTATATGGGCAAGAAAACTTTACCCACAGAACAGCAGCAGGTTTCACTGCAAGTCAGCCTTTGCTGCTTTACTAAGCAGGTTCTTCCACTGATGATTTTTAAATAAAGTTATAATAAGCCACTGACCCTTTTAGTCTCAACCATAAAGAGAACTTCAAATCACTTTGCTAGAAGCTGACACAAAGTCAAATGAAGCAATAATGAATATATCCCTCAAAAAGTACTTCCACTTTTTTTGGCACACCTATCTTTATTTGGCACACAGAAATGATGAAGCAAAGAAATGTATTGCACCTAGAGGGCAATGTATC